ACAAACAAACAAACCGTTTTAGAAGTCGTGTTTGATCCCGTTATTAAGGTCAAACAGCGAGGTAATCTTGAAAACACATGTTCATTATAATTTTTTTCCCCTCAGATACTTCGTTTGCTCTGGTAGATCTCAAATCGGTCACGAGATGGCGATATGAGATAAACGTTTGTACTTGAAAAAAAAAATCATGTCCATTCTAAAAAAACAAATTTGGATGAGTATTTATTCCTTTGCTTCGGATATTCTCGCAAAGCTATACAAAAGTCACGAGCACTAACTGTTCCTAACTTTGAACTGATACACTATAGAGGAAGCAGCTAGCCAACAATGGCTACCCCTAATTCCTGGGCATTCTATTCAAACAGTCGTAGTAGGCCGTCACTATGTATGACTCGAAATGTGGGACGCGAACTTGGGACCCTCAGGTTCACAATGCGGCACAATGTTTGTTCTTTCCATTAATCTGCACACTACTCAGTCACTGTATATATAGTTGGTCATAATTTCATAACCAAAAAACACATTACAAAAACTACCATTCAAGTCTTAGGTGAATCAGGAAAATAAGTTAACTCTTCACAAACTCACTAAGTTGTACTTGTATAAATGCGATAATTGTTCGTGTATACCACGTAAATCAACTAATAATTTATCATACAGTTTCCTGAACTATTGCACCACAGTGTCTCTTGGCCTGTCTTCCGATGGGACAGCGGTAGTAAGTCTACGAACTTGTAACTTTAAATCCGGGGTTCGATTCCTTGCAGGGGACACAGCTGGTGGCACAATGTGGCTTTGCTCTAAAAGAAATAAACACAACACCATGTCCCCCGAACTAACAACGCTAAAATATGGGGTTCGATTCCCCGCAGGGGACACAGCAGATGGCACAATGTGGCTTTGCTCTTAAAGAAACAAACACAACACCATGTCCCCCGAACTAACAACGCTAAAACCTGGGGTTCGATTCCCCGCAGGGGGACACAGTAGATGGCACAGTGTGGCTTTGCTCAAAAAGAAACAAATACAATACCATGCCCCCCCCCAACTAACAACGCTAAAATCATGGGTTCGATTCCCCGCAGGAGACACAGCAGATGGCAAGTGTGGTTTTGCTCTAAAAGAAACAAACACAACACCATGTCCTCCGAACTAACAAAGCTAAAATCTGGGGTTCGATTCCCCGCAGGGGGACACAGTAGATGTAGTTTTGCTCTAAAATAAACTCTTTGTCCATTTTTTTTTTTTTCGTTTATATATACACAGCGTGGTCACAAGTAAATAGACAACACCTTTTCAGAAAAAATGAAATTTTTCAGTCATATTCACATGAATTTATATATTTATAATTTAATTAATATCTAGTAGATCTTCCTTTCGCTTCGTGGAGTTCGTTGATCTTTTGGGGCATCGTGAGAATCATCTCGTCAATTTTAGATTGTGGTAATTTCGCCCACTCTTGCTTCAAAACTTGGAGTAGATCGCTTTTCGAAGTTGGTTTTTTGGTTTTTTCTTGACTTGCCGGTCGAGTATGGCCCAGAGATTTTCTATGGGGTTCATGTCAGGAGATTGGCTCGGCCAG